ACAGACTTCACCCAACACCAACAGAGAGGTGACAGGGCCCTCTCAAGGCCACACAGCTGCCTGAACGTGAATCTGCGTCCTGACTTCTGGTCGGTCTGAGTGACGACAGTGATGCACTAGGACAAATGTGTTACTTTTTATCTGGGACTGGATCATAAAGGCACCAAAACATTTGATGACTCGTGTCCACAAGACACTCAGTGAAAACTGTTGAAATGAAGGGAAAAAAAATGAGGGAAAGTATCCTGAAGCCTGTGAGTGGGATTCAGAATGAACGTCATCCCCAGCGATAGGTGAGCATCGTTTTGTAAGAGCTCCAAATGACATGGCGAGCAGTTGAGCCGACTCTGAGGGTCACAGAGGTGAGCAGCCCATCTTGTTTCTGGGAGGTTCGTCCAGGGATGAATGAGGCAAGCCCACAGGTCCCCACCTTGGGTTCCTCCCTGTTCTCCAAGGTTCACTCTGCTTCTCCTGAAGCCGCAGGGATGATGCTTGTGTGGAAAACTTGCTGCTAAAGGCAGCCTGAGACTCTGGACAGAGCAGAAGCAGAAGCAGGAGTCATCAGCTCAAGCTCCCCCAGGGCCTCCTGCTGTCCTGACACAAGAGCCGGGAGGGCCTTTCCTGCGAGGCAGTTCTTTTTGTTTTTTTCTTTGTTTGTTGAGACAGGGTCTCGCTCTGTCACCCAGGCTGGAGTGCAGTGGCACAATAACGGCTCACTGCAGCCTCAGCCTCCTGGGTTCCAGCCATCTTCCTGCCTGAGCCTCCCAAGCATCTGCAACTACAGGCGCACACCACCACACTTGGCTGATTAAAAACTTTTATTGTAGAGACAGGGTCTCATTCTGTGGCTTAGGCTGGAAATGCAGGGGTGCAATCATAGCTCACTGTAACCTCAAACTCCTGGGCTCAAAGGAGCCTCCCACTTCGACCTTCCTGGGCACCACACCCACCTACTTTCAGGTTTTTTTGTAGAGATGGAGTCTTGCTGTGCTGCCCAGGCTGGTCTGGCCTCAATCCTGCCTCAGCCTCCCAAAGTGCTGGGAGAGTTATTTTGTTGAAGAAAACTTCCACAGAACACTTAAGAACTAAAAGACATTACATGACTAATAAGCACGACATCTCAAAATCCATGAGAATGTAAGAAATTTCTTCCACATCTTTATAGATACTGAGGTCTGTTTGGAGTATATTCTGAGAAAATTAAGATGGGCTAATGAAGGCCTAAAGGAATAATCAGCAATTTAGAGAAACATGAGCATATTTTAAACTCATTTAAAAATCCACACTATTCATTGAAAAGCCCTACTAAACAAAATTAGTTCAGACAAAGCAATAAGATGACGAATCAAGCTCTCTCCAGAGATGAAAGAAAAGCCAGTCTCAGAGATGACTATAACTAACTCTGTTGCTGGAAAGACCAGGGCACCAGGCCAGCCCGGGGAGAGACTCCACCTCTTCAAAGACAGAACGATTCCAAACATGGCACGACACAGTGCTCACCCTACAGTGAACCTCTGGGAATGTGTTATTTTTTAAATTCAGTTAATCTTTTTTTTTTTTTGGACAGTCTCTCCTGTCACCCAGGCTGGAGTACAGTGGTGCGATCTCAGCTCACTGCAACCTCTGCCTCCTGGGTTCAAATGATTCTCAGGCCTCAGCCTCC